TACTTTCTAATATCGCTAGTTTTAAAATTTTTGGGGATAAACCCGGTCGTTCTGCGTGCATTGGGGACAATAAGGGTGCAGTATTTTAAAAGATTTAGACTCTTGTAGTGTGATACAGCCAGATCCTTAATAACTTCAGAAACATGTAAGTCGTGACCGCGTAAGTATTGACGGTCACGACATGCATGCATCTGAAGTTGTTGGTCATCGCCAACCATCATGACCGAGCGTTTATGTCAAGAGAAAGAAAGGCGTCATGTGCGGCACCACTGGGCAAACGCATTTAGGTCGCTTTTTAGGAGTTCGAGCACGGCGTCATGATCTGCAGGCTCATATCTATATACGAATTTCAGATCATCGATATACATGAAAGGCTTACCATTCTGAGGTAAATCTGGCACGTGAATGACAAAAAGGCAAAATAATAGCTGACCAAGTACACTGCCCTGAATGACTCCACGCTGCACGAATGTGAGACTGGCGATAGCATTGGAAATCTTAACCCGTTTTTTTTTTGTGGACGCCCAGGTAGAAGGATATCAAATTCAGGAGTTTACCACCTATTCCGAAAGAGAAAAGTCTCAAGAGAGCAAGAGCATGATCAATAGATTAAAAGTCTTGGTGAAATGGCAACAGACTGTGTAAAGCAAAAAACCGCTGTCCCTAGTTTGGGGAACGGGATCAAAGAAAGAAAGTTGACAGGTGTCCGAAGACCGAGATTTGAGGAATTCATGCTGAGCAGCACTCAGCAGGTTTTTCTCTGTTGAGTGAAACATCATCTCATCTTTCTTCATTGTCTCTATGATTTTCGAAACTGCTGGAAGGGTGCATATTTTCCGAAAGTCATCGCAGAACGTAGATTGGTCGTGCGTTGAAATAGGCAAATCTTTTGATTCCTTCCAAAAGCAGGATCGGTTTCACTTTCAGGAGCTGGATTCAACGTCTTGCACAGCAGAAACGGGAAAATTTCATTTTCATCCGCCTTTAAAGTGCTAACTAGGACTCCGTCAGGATCCGGCCTATGAAAGTGGCGAAAACAGGTGAAGAGGGACGCTCACTGATCGTGCTTACGGGTTCACTAATTCCGTTGTGCCTTGCGGGCTCTCTCTCTCGAGCCCAACCAGCAGCCGCACAGCTGTGCATGATATAGGCAGAATGTTATTATCGACGACGACAAGGGAGACTGGAATGAACATTTCTGGCTTATTAGCCGTCGTCAGTCAGTCATACCCAACCCCGACGTTTGGAACACCTAGGGCTCGAACTCGTGACCTGTTAGTTAGAAGTCTAACCCCTCTGACCACTGAGCCACAGGCTCGTTGACCTGTCGTGTTCCACACCTCGGGTTGTGCATGACTGGCTGACGACGGCTAATGAGCCAGAAATGGCTATTCCAGTCTCCCTTGCCTTTGTCGGTTATAACACTGGCGAAAACGTATTATCGTTACGATCATGTGCCATTGTATGAAAGTTATAGTTTCGAGAACGGCCTGGTCCAGGCGTGGATGGTCGGAAGTGGGGCGGACAAATTTTTAATAAACGTTTTGGACAAGAAAGAGTTGAAAATATCAGAGGTCAACTGGGCATCAATCATAGGATTCCCGAAAGTGTCTCGAAGGCTGGGATGCTTCGTTTTTACACGGAGTTTTACTTCTCAGGAGAAAATTTTCGCGACGTTTAACGAGCGGTTTTCGGGGAGGCGTACTTCATCGGCCAATTGCTTTTCTTCGGACAATCTCTTAGGCCGCTCGAAACTATCACAAACCATGGGCAGAACGGAAGCGTCATTCTGTAGATGGAATCTGCGAGGAAGTCTGTGCAGCCTATGGCGAAGAGGTAGGGGGAAGAAACGCCCATCTCCGACATTAATTATTTTCTCACGGGAAGCAAAACGAGAAATAATCGGACCGAAATTTCGTACAATTTCGCAATGCCAACATTTGCATCGGAACTTAGGTTGACACCATTCCAGTCGTAGGAATTAAGAAATGTTAATAATTCGACCGAGTAGGCTGCTCGGAAGTCGAATAAGAAGCTATAATTTGAGCACAACATTTCGTCGGCCTCAAGTGCTAATATAGAAACAACTATGACGTGGTCTGAGCTTCCGAGTGGGCCTAGGGATGCCATTGAAAATGGCATGAAACCTCTACAGAAAACTAGGTGAAGTATGCGTAATGCTCGTGAATTCATTTGCCTAAGGGGTGTAGGGGAGATCAACAGAGAAGGAGTAACTGGCAAATGTACGAACATGACGCAAATGATATTTGTTCCAAAGAAACAGTTAGCTGACAACAAAACTCATCTGTGACTCCTTGAAGTCGAATTCCTGTAATCAGTGGACCGCCGGACAAAACGAGATATGGGCATTTAGTGTGTTTATGTCTCCGTACCTGCTATTCCTGGTCCGCAGTATCCTCCAGTCCATAAACGCAATTTACCATGGTTAAATCGGGCTAGGTGATGTTTTCGCACTTAACAGTCCAACTTATTGTTATCTCTGCTTATCTCCCCAAAGGCAAAGGCCGAAAATGGTGCCCCGAACAACCAATGAAACAGCCCACCGTCTGCAGCCGCCTGTGGCTAGTGTACGTACGATATGTGCTCTAAGCTGCTCAAGAAACAAGGACTTCTGTATCTGTTCCCAAGTCTCCACAGACTGCCAGAATGGCACATTGCATTCCAACAACTCTGCAAAAGTTCTTCCTTTAGGCATTTTACGAGGTACCTGTCACTGAATCTTCCTAATGGCATCTGTCAATACTGGGTTAGGAGTTCCGTGACAGCCTAAAAGTTGGGCGTGGCTGACTGGTGACGGCTAAGAGGCCGGAAACGGCCACTTCGGCCTCCCCTGCTCCTGTCAATAATGCAATTTTACCTGAAAAACAGAAAAATTACTCAAGTGCGCGAATAAAAGCAAATGTCTTTCACAAATTTAGCAGCTTTATCACAGGCTCCAGTACGTTTAAACAAATCCAATAGGGATTGGCCACTGTAACATCCAGTCCCCGTTAATGGCCCAATCTTCACGGGCAGAACCGCTGAGTTCTAGCTCTCAGTAAAGACGACGTACAACAGATCGCCGGGGCTGGGCGTTCTATTTCTTGCTTTATTAATTTTCCAACATATTTATGGGATCTCAGGCGTCAAATTAATTCACAGATTCAAATCCAGAATTGTGATTGGCTGGGTGGCACTGTGAAGAGAAACCAAAGCGAACTTGAGTCATCATCATTCCACTTAATTGGTATTTGTAACACATTTTCGCGTAAAATAATTTCATAAGGAACCCAAATGGCATCAAACAAGGCACCACGTTCCAACTCATCAGTCTGCATAGTCAAAGTTGATTCTGAAAACACCTACCCCATACATAGCAATTATGTAACATCACACGACATGTATAGGATTGTTTAAATGAGGAAACAGTCTCAGCGTCCGGATCTAGGATGAAGATGGCGTAACTGTGTGTTGATGAGAACGGCCGGTGCCCTTTCCTCACCCTACCGCCGAACCCCTCCCCCCAACTTTCCATAATGTTCGTGTCGCACGCGCTCTCTCTCTATGTCAACGTCGTCACCTCCGTCGGACCTCCCCTGCAGTTACCCACAGCGCTGCTTTCCCCACCGGTTAATTAGCTGGCATGTCAGTTTCGCCCCACCACCTTGACAGGTCACACCCTTGCTGCAGCGCATTCCCTTTATACAATTAACCGCTATACTATGCATTCCTAGCTTCCATATCTTCCTATTATATATTGCTGTTCACCAAGTGTATCTCTTTCCCTAGGGTATGGATGAGTGCTGCGACGTGTCAAAAATCCCATTCAGATCGCTCTTAGCCAGGAGATCTTCCCAGTCGTTTGCTACTTCGGTGTGTGCCACCCTTGTCGCCCTCAGCCGCTACAATAAAGATTGATCGCGCCCCTGCAGGGCTAGTGCCACGCAGCAAATGTGAACAGCTGAAACAAGCAAATGGCAAAGCCCAGCATGCTGAAAGGGCAAAGTAACATGAAAATCTTAATGAAAATGCGATAGCAAATTACGCTTTATTGTTGACACTTCCAACTGACTATGGCCAGTATTGACCATTTACCGTACAGCTCACTAACTAATCAGATCAACTGACGGGCACATCCCTTCTGCCATATCTAACCGGCACACATTTTCGGACGGTCCACTGGAGGCTAAAAGCTATGAGCAACTGCCTGAATTTTTTTTAACGGGTAACCGCATGTTAACTTACCTTCTAATATTCTTTTATTCTGAACATTAGATCTTCGTGGTTATTATGTATGCTGCTTTCGCATAAGACGCCTAAAACATGCACGCAGTTTCAGCGCTCGTTTTAGTACTACGGAGTACGCGTTGGGGGGTTATAATCAAAGCAACTTTTTGCGAACGAGGGCATAGCCTGCGAAAGTCCAGAATGCCATTGTCCTTAAAAATTCTTGCCGTTTCAAAATTTTTGGTTCACTTTAAAGAACGTTGCCGCAATTTTGTGAATCCTCCTGTTAACCACATAAAACCGATGTGAGTAGTCATTGCCTTGCTATGGTAGCCGGTTGCCTAAAAATTCACTCACCTTTGATATTCCTTACTTGGGCGAGTTTCCTTATAGTATCCTTCGGACTGTCCATTAGCTGGAATTATAGCCCAAACATTATTTCAAAAAACTTAAACTCAAGAAGAGAAAAAGTCATAGAAATATAAATTTGCATCTCGCGCGAAAATGTTCGGCCAATCGCCTGATAACCGGTACAAACATTCCGCAAATTTTAGCCGTTAGTGACTCCCTTTGTGAGCGTCCCAGATGAGTCTGGTAGACAAAGTTTACCGTCGTAGCGTGGCCTTCGATTTTTTTAAGAAAGGATGGGGTCGACCTGAGCTTTTGTTACAGTAACTTTGTTTCGTCGAATTATTTTAAGGTTAATAAAAAATTTAGAAAGTGTACGGACGGACCCTGGGTACTTGAACGAAAACTCCACATACAGGCCAATCATGATTGAGAAGGTTCATTTTCTGACGTCGTGTATGTCCCTTTAGAAAATCGAATATAAGAAGCTTATCGAAATGGAGGGCTCTTTTGTCTCGCCCTTTGAAGACCTCGTCCCGGATGCGCTATGTCCAAATAATCGGATCGCTCAGTACATACGCATTGGTGTGTAATTTCATTTAGCTTTCAACTTGTTATTCCAAAGCAATGGAAATCGAAATACAAGCCGATCTGTTTACACTTTGCTGGCACCGGTGACCACGTAGGTCCTGAGGATTTTGCTGACACTATTATAGGGTTATTATAGGCGCCGGGTATTCTTAGCAAATCAATTGTTGGAGGCTGGAATTGGTTCAATTATAATAATGAACCCGTTCTATGGTTTACGGAAGCCGCCTGACCAGCGGTATGTGATTTGTGATCTGTTTTATTCATTATTATGTACTCTAGATTGAGTGCTCTAGACACCCAAAAATAACAATTATGTCTACTATCGACCGTAATTAGGGCTGCTTTGTTAGCCCAGAAAGAATTATTAACTTTTTAATAGCGCTCGTCTAAATACGACACGGAAAGTGTGTTAGATACGATCGGACTCGATGTTTGGCCGTGGGTCGTTCGAAAAAGCATACTCACATGCATCCTCTGCGGGCCGTTTTTGAGTTGGAAGGCGTAGATTAAGTCTCGACCGGCTGCCCATAGAATTCTTTCGCGACAGTTATGCTGCTGCAAATTTGTTAAAAACCGAGGCATAACTCGTGCGCGGAAGCGACGTGTTTTCTTGTCATGGTTAGTAGTTGGGATATGTGCCTCTTTCGCCAGCTCCTTATGCGCGCGATGCCCCTGCAAAAAAGTCTACTTCAAGTGCTGAGCATGTGACCTAAGAGAAAAGCACCTTGATAGCTGTGAACAAATTTTTTGCCAGAGTACAAAAGATTCAGTGGGGTCTGTCGTCCTTATTGCACTGCGTTTGTTTAGACATATTTTTCTTGGATCAGCCTCATTAACTTTCTTCCGTGGTTGCCTCTCACACATTATTAAGGGGACTTTGACTACTTCGCGCTTGGACCAGTTATTTATTGCTCATTTGCATTCGACTACAATCTTATTTGCCTGTTTTATTTAATCGAACTAACGGTTTAACCGGACGTCCTGCAAAGTATACGTATTTCAGTGCTAGCTCCACCTGCAATTTGGTGTCGCGAAAACTTTAGGGGAATGTTGGGGCCGACACTGCCGCTCATGAAAGCTCAGCTTTTCATATAGGGTCGAAACTTCTGATTTAGCCTAAGACTCTTCCTGGATGTCCGTGCTGCGTGCCAGGCCTCATTGCAAGTAAGCTCTCATAAATACAGAAATGGTCACCAGTCTTGCCTATTTATCGCGGCTTATTTTCACCGCTTTGCCCATTCGATAACGTAGTTATCTTAATTGTTAGAAGTTAGGACCTTCTTTAGGAGTCTGTCGTTCACATTCCGGCGTGGGGACTGACGAATTAGAGCACTCTTCCTCAGTGCACAAACTTCGTCCTCAGTCAGAATGTTATCGGCCTCCCCACATACGTTTGACGCAGTAGACAATCGAACATGACTAAGATACAGCAGTTCTATCGGGTTTTTGTTAAGCGGCGTGCTGGATAATGCAGACATTGAATTAAAAGGCAGTGTTGGAGGACGAAAGGCTGGTCAAGTGTGACCAGCTTTCCAGCCGGACCTGGACCCAGTCCAAAGCATCTGATTGTGCTGACTGCAAGGGGGGAGGCGAATGAATTGCGTACTGGCCACGTCCTGGAATACCCTCGCCCTAGACTATATCAACAGTTTGATTACGAACACGGCACTTGTGGTTGGTCTGAAAAACGAGTGGCAGCAAATTGACATTGAGACGACTCTGCATATTGTTTTCTCTTCAAGTCCTTTAACTCTACTCTTGATGTTGGAGGAGAGGGCGGGAAAGTTAATTAGAAGATTAGACCTCAAAAGGACTCCATACGTTGCACATTTGGGTCCATTGAGAATGACTGCTTGAGCTCTCTGAAGTAGCTCGGATATAACCGCATTTGCGTTCTGTATCATTAGAGGCAAAGATCTCGTTGCTATCAGCCGAATTGTATTTGAAAATGCTTAGAGGATGTTTGCACTTTCATGGAGATATAGGGGGCTACTGACATCTTACCACCCAACTGTGAGTCCAGTCTTTTAAAAGTTGCAATCTACAAATCAGGATGGCAGTTAGTCTTCATTCTAGGCCTTTACGGGAAGTGGGACACATTGTGATATTGCTACTGACGTATTGGACACTTCTGCGAATCTTTATGCCGACCAGTACTAAGCGTTCAATGCTTTCATAACACTTGATCCCTGGAATATTATTGGTTTTGTATAAAATGACAGTATCTTCCCACATTTCGTTTGTGCCGCTTTTTCTTTGTATTGCACAGGGGTTCCGGCCTCAATTACTTGTCGGACTTATTTGTAATGGGTGGGTCGCTGATTTTGGAGTGCCACAACCTTCTACGATGGTGCTCTCGTCTAGGTTTCGGCCCTTTCGCTCTGCATGGAATATCAATGGGAGGTTATGTACGTAGCCATTGCCTCCATAAATGTTTCCCTTGAATGTTTTAGCTGTTGCCTACAAGCATACCATCTTCCGGTGGTGTCTGCTGTTCGCTTACTATACCCTTTTCCATTCATGGATGAAATATTTTAACCCGAGAATAAGCGGGAACGATTTTCTTTTCACTTGGCGGTAAAGTCCTCAGTAGGGTTTAGATAAATTCCGAATACCTGTCCGACAAATGAAATGGCAGCCGCATGCTATACATGTTACTGCGGATATTCTTAGTGCCCATGTAACTGCCTTTGCTTGATGCCACTACGATCATTCCTGGTCTAGCCGGTCTTAATGATGCCCCACACAGTGCTTCAGGCTGAGCTGATCCATGGCGGCGGATCAGAATCAAATCTCGTATTCCATTACGATTATCTTTAAACCAGCATTTGGATCCGTCGCGTCCTTAGAATGCCTTACCCACTTGTGGTATGATGACTGTATCCTTGTCTACTTGCCGTGGAGAACCTTGGCCACTGCGTTGCCCCTTAAGGCATACTTTTGTATAAGGAAGGGGAGCCTGACGATAAGACGGGCATGTCCTATAACCTGATCGGTGAACGTCCTGTCATCATAGTTGATATTTCCGATCGCAGCCGATAGGACAAGGGGATCCCTAGCTCAATGGTAGGACCTCTAACCTAACGTTCAATGACCAAAGGTCCCAAGTTCGTGTCCCTGGTTATGCAAAACTAGGGTTATGCACGACTGACTGACGACGGCTAGTAAGTCAGAAATGGCCATCCCAATCTCCCTTGTCTTTGTCAGTATCCGTGCGGTATTTATAGTCGCCATACGACGGCCTGCGAGAGCTACAGATTGTGCCCCAAGGCTTAGCCGGACGAACATGTCCCGTAATCTGACCAGCGAACGTCCTCGCGCCATAACTATTTATTATGACAGATGGGTGCTCACCGATCAGGTCACGGAACGTGGTCATTCCGTTCTGCCTTGGGGCTCATACTAGAATCCTCGGAGGTACTCGCACGGCGAATGGTAGTAGGTGTGGATGAGGTGGTACCGACAAAGACAAGAGAGACCGGAATGGCCATTTCTGGCTTATCAGCCGTCATCAGCCAGTCACACCCAACCCTGAACTGTGGAACACCCGAAGCTCGAACCCGGGATCTTTGGCCATGGAGTTGGACACTCTCCCTTCGTTTTTGTCGGTACCATCCCATGATTTTTTATGTGTTATATAGCACCAGTGTATGTTTAGCTGGGTGTAAACGGCACAACATTATTGCCATCGTTGGCTGGACCCCCAGCGATCGCTGTTCTGTTTGCGTTTCACTCCCGAATGTTAAAGACCGTCAGCCCCAGCCTCCTTTCCAGATATGGCTTAAACGCGTCTGGTAACTTTTTTCTGCCAATTACGACGGCGGCGCCGACGCAGTCGGGAGTTTGGAGACGTAACATTGTCGCCAAGATCCTTTTCGCGTCAGTGGTGTGCGTGACCGTTGACCATCTAAGACAGCGGTCCCTTATCGCATCGTCGCCGGGTTTCCCCGGTTGGCAGCAAAATTCAACATTTGAGGTTCAACCTAAGAACTGAGACCGTGGTATTAAGTGGACGCACCATTTGCCGAACAGACCACCAGCCCCTAGAGACCACAGTTAACTGTTGTTGGGGAGTCCCGCCTCGGTCATAACCCTATACTCGGATGATTGTTAGAAAGCTCATTGAGGTGCTAACACACGGGACGCAGACAGCTGTTTCGCTGTCATTGCCGATCGTCAGTACCGATCTGGTACCCTCCAAGGTGAGGTACATAAGCCTGTCAAGTGGTTGCGTGACCCTCACTTATTGCGGATAGAATGGGATCGAGGACGATTCCAGCCACAACGGGTGGGGGTCGTGCGCCTACTTGACCACTTCAGACTATAAAAGGCAAGTCTATGGCTCACTGGCGATCGGTAGTGGCCGTGAAACGGCTGTCTGCCTGACCTGTTAGTGCCTCAAAGACTTTTCGATGTATCATATTTCGTATGTTACTCTGGGACAGCGTTCCTTATCGCCAGCAGCCCAGCTGGCTGGCGAATGGAATGGGATCAACTAGGATTCCAACCACAAGCGAGGGCCACGTGCTCACTTGACACGAATAATTGTCATCTGTTGAACTTCGAAGTTTGTTTAGGTACTCAGATCCTGAAAGAAAAACGTGCTACACGTTAGTAGCTGAAGTAGACGAACTATTCGGCAACCCGGAACATCTTGTCGGAAGGACACTGTTTGCGGTAGAAAGCCACCGGTCAGTGTTTTTGTCTGCTCAGCGCTCAATCTCGAATCGAATATGACGACTGCAAAGACTATGCAGCCAAGGGCAGGTTGCGTTTCCTCGAAAGTGTTCGCAATCATGTCTGTATCCTCAAAATGGTCAAGATCTGAGGCGCGAAGATCTTGTTTCTTTCTGGATACTATTGTAGTCGTAAAGTGTTGGGGACGGAGCCGAGTCAGATGCATTGTCAGAGAGAACTTACGAGAGGGCACAGTCTCGATGGACGCCGGAATTGACAGCAAAGTACTCCTTCTCTTCGTCTTAAGCTCTGATTTTCGCCTACCCCAATTGATAATTAACCTTGGTGTAGTTCGGGGGTGTCGGGTCACAATCTTAACCTTTACAGCCATTCATAGAGTATTTTGGCCGACTAAGTCGAGCGTTACAATAAAATCGAGCCAACAGCCAGCCGCCGTCGTTTAAGAACAGCTTCACTGCCCCGGTATCCATTTTGGGGCGAATCTTCGGTCGACACAGTTCCTGCCACTGTGGAAACCGTCCTGGAACTCCCTTCTCTGTGTGTCCCTGACGGTACGAAAGCAGTCCGTCAGGATCCTTGCGAAGGCCTCAACAACGCCCATTGAGATGAGGCTTCTGCAGGTGGCGCTTTTGAGGGGGGGTCATGGAGCGATATTGATCCAGCCCTGCACCACAAATCCAGCCTGTCATGCGCGCCAAACGACCTTCCCCAGCCACCTTAAAAGGAGGATTCAGCACAGCTCTAGTAGACGTCATCAGGCAGCTCGGCTTCACCCGTGGGTCTGTTGTCTCGTATCTGCTTAATTTTCTGCCGCGGACTGCGGCGCGCAGTTACAGTCGGGGCTGAACTTTGCGGGGGCAACCGCAGTCGAAACCATGTCTGACGGCACATTCAGAATCTGGCATGTTGAGGGCTGAAGAAAATTGCTCTTGTCAGCCGCCTGGCAGTCGCGTGCTCTGCCGCATGACACGCAGGCCTGCCCTAACTGACTTATCGAGTAGCGCTTTAGCGAATGAAGAATGATTCGGATAGTCTGTATGGCGGTCCTTCCCACTATGATTAAAACAAAGAATAATGCCTATTTCAAACCCCCTGCATTTTTTTCTTTTGATACAGATGGCAACAATATGCGCAACAACTGTTGCCGCTCCTGTTTCGCTGATACCCTGTCTTTCGTGGACTTCCGCTTCCGTTGTATTCATCGAGGTGAGGATATTATCGTCATTTTTGTATATATTCATAGTCAGAATAGCAGAAAATATTCGAGCACGATGTTTTGGTGTATACCCTTTGTTATGAATGAAGGCGAAATTTCGAGTTCCAGGTGTATGCATAAGTGAAGAAGAAGAGTCGAGCACCGGAACACTTCGTTTATTATCCTGAGCTTTCAGACTCGTGCAGGAGTCGAACGTCAGATTTAATAGCAGCAACAGAACAAGCGACAGTTATATGGTAGGTAGACCAGTCATCGACCGACGACGCAAGACTGGAAGTGACTACGCAGGGCTCTGTACGCCGGCGCCAGATCGATAAATCGATTGACCGAGTTCTCATCCGAGGCCCAGGCTTCAATCAATTCTCGGCCTGTTTTGTTTCCGGCGTGGGCGACCGAGCGCATTGCTGCGGAGCTAGGTGTTGGAATTGCACACCCCCCCAAAGCCACCATGCGCAACAGGGTCATGAAAATCAAAGGCCGGTTAAAACCTGATAAGCAATCTTGAGTAGTGTATCGCATTCCGTGTCAAAATTGTCCTTGTCACTACACAGGACAGACTGGACGCATGCTCGGATCGCGCATACACGAACATAAGCTGGCTGTGCGGCGAGGCGACGCATTATCACAAGTGGCCGCCCACACCTACGAAATGGGTCACGAGTTTAACTTCGCAGTCACCAAAATAGTCGCCCACGCCGGAAACAAAACAGGCCGAGAATTGATTGAAGCCTGGTCCTCGGATGAGAACTCGGTCAATCGATTTATCGATCTGGCGCCGGCTTACAAAGCTCTGCGTAGTCATCTGCAGTCGTGCGACGTCGGTCGATGATTGGGCCTACGTGCCTTATAACTGCCGCTTGTCCTGTTTCTGCCACTACCTCTGACGATGGACTCCTGTACGAGTCTGAAAGCTCAGGATAATAAACGAAGTCTTCCGGTGCTCGACTCTTCTTCACCCTTTGTTATGTTAGGTATGTCAGTCATTTTATGAAGTGCTCGGTCTGACATGCGCCGACTTTGTCCAACACTTCCTCGAATTTTCACAGAGCTCATATTATTTAATGAACTTACAGGACTGTTTGAGACGGAGCCTTTGGGTTTCTGCTCCGATTGTAATGTCTGTTACTAGAAACTTCTGCACAATAACGCCGTAGCATAATCTTTAAGCCGCAAACCGCATCTCCATGTTTATGCTAGAGCTATGGACCGCCGGGGTGCCAACGCGCTGTTTTAATTCAATCGAAGCAGAAAGCGTCCTGCTCAAACTGTTACTTGGAAATCTCCGCCTGGCGGGCCGTACTACAACCGGAAAGTTTTCATCCTCTGTTCAGTTGGTGGCCACACAGTTCCCAAGGGAGGGCATATGCAGTCACTACGACTGTCTCTGAGCATTGCTTTGAGTGAGAATCCAAAAAATACCGGGCGAATTCGTGTCTTGTTGCAGCGACCACATCTCACTCCTGCCAACTGTTTCCTGGAGCTCGTCTCTTTGCCTCTACCGGCGATACAGGACCCGATGTCGTTGCCTCTGGCCGCTGGTGAGACCAGTGTTCTTTGCTAACGAGGAAGACGAGACAGGGGTATCAGCTGTCTTCTTAGATTCGAGTTGTGTGCGCTGTATTGCCGGAGGGGTGACGCATTCAAGTCTGCCGTGGATGACCGGGACTGTGTGTGCGTGTCGAAGTCGGTTAGACCGTAACAGGCCAGCGCCCCTGGAACCCGCCGTTCGCAGAGGCAATGAATGACTTTGACGTAGCGAAGCGCCGGGACGCAAGGACGGCTGTCTACGGCTAGGTGTGCCTTTGAAGACTGTCAACTGATGCGGTAACACGGTCCTCCTCCGAACTGAGAGTTGAACCGAAATGATTGCCTAATGTGGTCCTTATGGCGCCTCCTTGACGTGAGATCCGCGATAGTTTAGTCTGGTTCGTTTTCACTAAGGTACCAGTATGCCGTGTGCGCGTTTACTCATGAGCTCTGTCACAATAACCGCCACGTTCACGTTTGTCCGTAGCCGTTTTGATCGTGCATTATCCCTGGTATACGATAAATCAAGAAAGAGATGGAGAAAGATAAATGTGTCGGAAGTATGTTTCATTATAAACAAATTCACGGGCAAGTCACTACTGCGTTCTGGACGCTGTGTTCGTGGTTGTCATCGATTATGTCGAACTAACTGCCGGGTATGGATATCGCTTTGTCAAATTTACGTGTTTTACAGGCTACTCTGAATTTGTTTGACGCATTTACCGAGGCAATACGAAAGATCTGTTAAGGTATCCAGTCGTCTTTTTTAAATAAACATGCCATTTGAGCAATAAAACTGCCCATAGTTCGAAATTGCTGTCTCTAGTCGCTGTCTTCGAAACCCCTCCTTTTTCACTCCTAGGGAGTCCTTGCCAACTCCGTGGACTGGGCCACCCTGACGAGGCAGTACATCGAAGACTCTGCATACTCGCGTGTCATCCGTCCTCGCATTCAACCCTCCATCAAACCCATCTTCCAGTACAAGCTGGAGAAGCAAAAAGAGCCAGGTAAGATTCAGATACTGACTGAAGACTCTGTTTGGACTCGCGAACCTTTGGGCTTCTCCTCCACCTTCCTCCTCTCATATTTACGATCATTATTAACGTCGTCAGTGTTGGCCATAAATTCGACGCGCAGACTTATCGAACGCCCCATTCAGCCGTATTTTGGACTAGGTTCCTCGTAACTTTTCTGAAGAAGACGGCCGCGGACTTCGTACCGAAGCACCTAACTCATGGTGTGGCACTTGTGCAAATTACCTCACAGTCATTCTTCCTGGATGACCTAGCGACTGCGGAGTGCTTGTATGCCTAACATTAAATATCGTCCCCCTGCAACAGTCATCGAAGACCGTTAATCGGTACAAGTCAGGAGCCTTGAAAAAGGAGACACGACCGTTGGGACAAGAGCTTTATAAGCCTGACGTTTCGGATTCCTGCTCGAGCCCACCATCAGAGACAAAGCAGATACGGGCGGTTCTTCCACAAGGGGCTGCAGTATTTACAGGATGTAGTCGCCATGCTACTGCATACCTACGAATATTCACGGCTCCCCCCTTCATCAGGATTCGTTGTACTTGGTGTGCTGACTGTCTGATGGCCGACGTTCGCGTCGTTAATCACTGCAACGCACGTGATGAAATTACAGCAATTAACGACGCGAACGTCAGCCATCAGACAGTCAGCACACCAAGTGTAACGAACCCTGATGAAGGGGAGAGCCGTGAATATTCATAGGTATGCAGTAGCATGGCGACTGAATCCTCGCTAGAGGTGACAACAGCGTGAGCCGGGAGCTGCTTGAGTCATGGTCTACTGGTCCCCAGTCCATTAACAAGTGCGACGACCTTCCCCTTCCATACTCGGTGCTGAGAATTCGCCTGGGCAGAGTAATTAGCCACGCGGGGAGCGCATAGGTGAGCACTTTTTCCACCGGGTCGGTGGATCAGACTGTCGAGCAATAATCACACCAACATTCAACACATGTAATGAAATGGCAGCAATTAACGACGTGAATGTCGGCCATCAAACAGTCATCGCACCAATTGCAATGATCTCTGATGGAGGGGGGAAGCCGTGAACATTCATAGGTATGCGGCAGCATGGCGACTGCATCTTATAAATACTGCAGCTCCTTGTGCATGAACCACCCGTATCTGCTTTTGTCTCTGATGCTGGGTTTGAGCAGGAATCCGAAACGCCAGGCTAATAAAGCTCTCGTCCCGGTGATCGTGTCTTCTTCTTCAAGACTGCCTCCCGGGACTCGTCTCTTCACTTCTATTGACAAGTCAGGAGCATTCCCCTTGCATATTCAGTTTTTTAGCGGTTGGAGCATGGCGACGGGTCCATGGGTGGTACCCCCTCCCCCCCCCAAGAGCTTCCAGAAATCCGGCTAGCATCAGTTTGACGGCGATCCCATCCTTACACCGTCCTATTCGCGACAACTTGACTCCCAGATCTGTATTTTTTACTTTCTCGAACTGACAGTTCGCAGTCGAAGATGCTACGTTCTACTGACGCTGGGCGCTTGCATGGGGATCGCGAGGAGGATCGAAACCCATCCCACGGTCTCGTGGAGTGCCTAGGCCTTGGACATTTTCATTATATGACTCAGTATACGGGAGCTAATATGCTAACCGGTTAGATTATTCTAGTGGGAGTGCTTGCTGGAGAATGTCAGCCGGATTATTAAGGTGGGATTACCAGCGATTCAGACAATTTTGCGGACATTCTTGACTGGATCTGAATGTGGTCGTTCCCCATTTGATTTCTCTGATTCACTTAAGGGATTGGCTTTTTATCATTAGGATGGTGCCTAACCGAAGGTCATTTGTGTTGTTTTGATCGCGGACGATGTGTGCGTGTCTGTACCCGAAAGCACACCGCTATTTTCGTGATTGTCGGGATCGTGTGCGTGTAAAGATCACGTCAAGCCTCACTTCCCCTTCGTGCGTGCCTGTCGTCATCCGCTTAAATCCGACCCTAAGAATAATCTTGAATGGAACTACCTGTACTGGTCTTGGCACCATCATTTGAAGAATTTACAATGCAAAGTTAGGAAGTCTGGATAAAAGCCGAAGCCGTGTCTCCGATATTCTATCTGGCAACTAGTGTTAGTCCGGTTGGGTGCAAATTGCCCTCTGATCCATAAGTTTTCACAAAAAACGAAACAATCTGATAAATATACGCCTTTTCAAGGGGGGGGGGATGGTTGTCGGCCAAGTTGTTCCATTTCAACCAACGTGTCATTGCTACCGCGTATTTATGGTTAAATCCCTTGATTCAGCAGCTGCATGATTTTTGAAAAGCCAACTTCTACACGGCTTTAGGGAAAACAGGCATAGGACTTTCGGATACAGGTTAGCACACGTAAAAGATCCGGGTCGATAATCTGAGGAAAAAGGACTGCTCACCGGATCGAGGGAATTGTCCTTCTGACGTTTTGGAGAGCTTGGCCGGCTCTCCATTATCAAAGCGTCTAGTGCAAAAATGGATCAGAATTTTGTATGTGCGTTGTTTGTCGTCACCTCAATGGGGATGGGTTGCACCCGTGTTCCCCTTTTGGATGAGTTAGTCACCGGACCGTGTTTGCTCGCCATTCTTAAGCTCCGTATGACCGTCTTGTCCTGGTCCTGGCGTATGTAGTGACGTAGGACTTTATAGGCCGCAGGAAGGTCTAGATGCCTGTTGATGGATTTGACATCTGAGTACCAAGCCTCAAGTGTGAGACGCTCTGTCCTTGAGGTGCTTCGACCTAAGACGGCTGCTCTTTGAAAGTCAAAACTGTGGCCAGCTTCTCCGATGTGAGTCGCAAGCTGTGAGTTCGGGTCTAGTCTCCGAGTTGCCAATTTGTGCTCCCGTAGACGGGTCTGCAATTTCCTTCCGGTTTCTCCAACGTAGTTACAGTCTCCATCGGTACAACGTATTTGATACACAACTGCTGAGGCTTCAGTGGCTGGCAGTATTTCTTTGGGTTGCATCAAACGGCGACGAATTGTTGCCTTGGGTCGACTAATTTAGTCAAAAGGGGACACAAACGCAACTAACCCCATTTGAGGTGACGACACACAACACAGGAGGCTACCAGCACTCACAAATGACGGCCAGTAGGCCAAGGCAGCGAAAGGAGAAAAAAGTCGATCAACCCAAAGCCAATTAATTCAGCTGTCTATTCGAAATTCTGATCGATTTTTGCACTAAAAGCTTTGATAATGAAGAGTCGACCAAGCTCTCCGAAACGTCAGCAAGACAATCACCTCGATCGGGTGAGCACTTCTTTTTCCTAAGACTTTCGGATACGTCTGTTTCGAGATTATTCTGTAATGAGATAAACTAATGGAGTTCCCCATATACCTTTTATTCGATGCTGATTTAGCAAAATCCAGCAGTAACAACCGCTCTTTAGGAAATTTCTGAAATGCTCAAGGGTTTCGGGACAGATGGTGCATTTACCACCCACACAGGCGTTTACCAACTTAATCCGAGGGTACCTAAAGACACTCGCACCAAAACTGCTGTTTATCGCAAATAATGTACTACTTTCACGGTTTCAGTACCCATGTAATAGTCTTTTCTCGTCGCAAACGTTGTAGCAAGGAAAATCAGAATCTTGCTTCACGGTTTTGCGGATACACGTGTTCAAACTTACTTTTTCTAAAGGGTACTCCGAGCATATTTGATGCTCTCGATTATCTGTTTTTTGTATGTACAACAGCTCGACCACCGTTCACGCCAACACATCGGGTGCCATCTGAACGAGAAGGATGAGCATTACTAACTATCTGAACATCGAGGTCGAATATCCTTGATTCCTTTTTTCCCTTTGCTCATTCATTGAGTCCCCACTTGGTGTATTTTTCGCCAAGTGAAGCCATATCTTCACTTCCACGACAGCACATGCGCTCCGGTTTACTTATTAGGCAGTTGATGCGTTTGATTGGTAGTGCGGAGGAACCGTCTGGAGCCTGACCGCTCTTATGAAGATAATATAATTAGACTGGGGAAGAGGTGTCTAAAGCATAAAAAGCTGATCATGAATAGACTAGCTAATACTTCGACCTCCATGCTCCTCGCCCTTTCCACGTGACCTTGTGAATGGAACGCGAGGCAGCTCTGGTTGGCCAGCTTCCATACTGGCATCGTTCATCGTCTTTGTTCGATCGTAAGTCGTCCATCTCGGCGAGGAATCTTCACCGTGACTTTGCACCGCTATGGCTTGTGTTCTTTTTATGCTGGTAACTGATTTTACAGATCTGTGAGCAGGTACATCTAAAGAGCGCTCGACCATTCATCCACACATTCAACGGCAACTGCCTCCTCCCCTCTCTTGGGATGTATCCATTTGCATCAGACCTGTCTACTTGGTCGATCTTACAATGAGACCTTGCCGAAACTCCTCCCTGCTTGACTGTATTAAGTCGATTACACGGAAGACAGGAGTGTGAGTAGTTTTAGGCGGCTTCTTGATGCTTTGCCAGCTGGAGAAGCCCATCCACTTGTGATGGAGCCGAGTGACCTTCGCTTCAGTGATTTTTCTAGTCATGTAGTCTCGGCACATCGTTTATATCGAGCCTGTAAACAAAGCGTAATGACCGCTGTTATTGTTGCTTCTTCTGCCGTAGGCAGACCTTCCCTCGATGCGAACCTCGTCACGTAAGGACTAGGCATTGTCATAGTTACCGCTTCTTTCATGCGGTTCGGTCTTGCCAGTGCTTGGCGGTGTTATTTTACGTAATACTTCTTAACCGCAGGACAGGAAAGTAAGAATGTTTCTTTGTTCTCTTAAGAATACTTTTTAAACGTTTTTTTTAAATGAAACTTTGTCTTCACACGTGAAGCTTTTTATGGTCAATGACTAGCAACTATCTCGTCAATACGGGCTATAGAAAAAAGGGAAATTTGTACGTAAGCCTGATGGTCATCTGGTGAATTTCTAGGTGAATTACTTAGGAAATCCTGCCTGGGCAGTCAACTTACTGTTTAAAATTTGGTGGATTCCAGACGTTACAGCAGGTTGGGCGGGTAGCTTGACCAAAATGTGATTATACTCGCGTCGTCCGGCGTGGCCTCGTAGCTCAAGTGGTTAGAGCGTTGGCTGTACTAAAGCCTTCCCCTTACTACGTGGGTTCGAATCCCACCGAGGCGCCGAGTTTTCACAGCTGGGTCAATATGAAATTTGTACGGTTTGAAAACTCGTCGTCGTCGAACAGAGGCGGACTGCCAATCTTCCCATTTTGTGCCCGGTGTTGTATTGTTGAGCTTCTGCGCGTACGTCTCCTAACTGTACAGATTGTCGGCATTAATCATAATTTTGACTTTGATGCCAGTCAGCGGACGTCATCAGCGCAGTGTCGGCGAAGCGGAGCTCGAGCCAGGGCCTCCTGGCGGTTTCTCCACAGACTGTCTTGGAAAGATAAGTACTGTATGTTATAGTTACGGACTAGGACAGGCCTCGTCTGTATGTTTGCCCATCTTCTGCGTCAATGGAGCCAGCTTTGTAACTCAGCAGAAGGCTTAGCTCAGAGCAGATTAGTCCAGTCGTGCATCTCGCGGGACTAGGGGACATGGTCAGTTCATGGAGTTGGGAAACGCGTTAACTGCTGCTCTCTAGTAGAACGCCACCGCCCGCTGGGCTGCCGGACTGACAGGCTGTGCGTGGAAGCACGAGCTTGCTTGCCATACCAGTTTTCTTACTTCCCATAGTTTGCACAAAGAAAATAGTGGCCGTTTCTAATTACTTACAGCATTGTAGACCGCACAGCTCGAGTCGTACTCTCCCAATTTGCACACCCAATTGTATGAGTCTTCTTGGCCGTAGACGTGCTAATTACAGATTCCGAATTTCTATTCAAGTAATATCTTCGGCCTCTCAGTGTTATTCGGATTACCCTAACAGAATTTCGCACGTCTAAAACTACAGTGAGTGACCAATCTCATGAAATGTTGGCCAAAATTTTGAAATGCGTTTTCGATTAGGAAGGATTTTTAGGTGGGGTTGTAATACGGATTGTCTTGCGGCATAATCCTATAATATTTCGGACTCGGTAGGTGGTCGGCTTTTGAATACACTTCTTTCCAACCTCCTGTAGGGACTTTATTCGGTAAATATTGGCTGCTTAAGTAGCATGCCAGCATCCCGAGTGAGCGAAATGTCCGTGGATTATGTTGCAGGATAATCATTCCCACAATCCCACATAACAAATCTTTTCTGATAGAAAATGAATTTCAGAATTTCGGCTAGTACTTCATGAGAAAGGCCAGCCGCTGTGTATTTGGGGAATAGAGGGTGGGAGGCGGGAACCTGCGACTGACTTTGAGTAAAGCCTTTTACCTAAGAGTGCCGGCTCCTCTTTGCCGACTGGACCGGAATTTTTACAGCCTCGTCGCCTAGCCGAATCCATTCTGCCTCCATTCGGCCTCTATTCAAAATAGCTACATCACCTTGACGAATGCGTCGATTACTGTGTCACGGATATGTAGATAAGAGTTAGCTGCTAATTAAAGGCCGAGCAGGGCAACCAATACGCGCTTCGAGGCCCTTGGAGTGGTCTGTTATCTTGGATTCCTCGCACAATCATGGAGATTCAACACCCTCCTAATTGTTAAGTATGACGCCCTTGAAACTCACGGCGCTCTAGAAGTCCTAACTTGGAAGATTGTAAATTGATGAAATGACTCAGTTTTACTCCGAAGGGGTGTCACACTGCAGTGAGTTACTCATGCGGCGTCTATGGGGCCGCTCATTTTCGGTGAGATCCGAGTCCGTGTGTAGAACGCCATGTCAACCTCTGAGCCCATTCTCACTCCCAGCCGGCTTGACTCGCGGATTTGGCTCATTTTCTATTGTGAGACAGTTGTCACATGAGGGTGGCGTCCACTGGCCTATCCTGATTATGGTTGCCTGTCGTCTGTTCAGCTTTCTGCTCGGCAGGTCCAGGTCAGTACAGTTCAGTATGTTTAATGGCAATAGGCATTCCTTTCGGGGGCCCTATTGGAGACGGCACATACAGTATCCAAAAAACACGGCCTACTATAATGTATTCAGTAACACGATTTTCGTAAAATATTATTGTGACAGTAGGAACAAACCCGGGCCCCCCTAGTAGGTGTAGTAACGCGCACCTGCGTTAGCGGTAGGTATGAGCAAAGCTATGATTTAATGCATCGGAGTTTTCCTGTATGATTGAACGCTATTTTTCACGCAAAGATATATCCGGTTTGTGTTTAAATGCCTTTGTTGTATCCGCCATTACTACGTCATCGATAGGTCCGCTCCAGGCACGGACAACGTAATACTGACGAACACAAAATTCATTTAAATACCGTGTCTGAACGCACAGCATCTTCCAGAGGCCCCGTCCACTAAGTCCATACCTCACCCACTCTCCATTCGGGCTCAGAATTGAGGCCCGGATCCTCGAACTCGATCCCCTTGAGCTTCCGATCAGCACATAAAACATGAGTCTTGAAAATTGTCCCCCCAACCCTACACGAGACAGAACGAACCCTTTCGAAGATCACGAATTTACTGCCTTGGTACTTGCATTCTTGGATTTGGAGAGGCGGTTAGAGGAAATAACACCTACCAGTAGAGGAGATACCTGACCTTATAAAAAAGATCATTCAAGAGTCCTATTGATTGCGAATTTTCCAATGATTCAAATCACGACTTAACAGCACAACTTTGAGTTTGTTTACATGTTGGGTGCCATTGTAGTGGGAGGACGGGCCCGTGAACTGGCTACCATGTCTTCGGATTCTGGCAGAGCCGACCAACAACAGATCTACCAAACCGCCATGTCCACGGGGAAGGCGCCTCTTGTTGGTCGGTCTCCTAGTCGCAACCCTATGCTGACACCCCAGACGCCTAACTCGACTTCACCTCCTGCAAATAACTCCAATCCCTTATTTCTTACCATCAACGGGTAAGTTAACACGCGGATGTCCTTTATTGGTCCTCTTACCCGACTTTTGAAGCTTTCCGTTTCCGTAGTTGACGTCTCGAAGCTCTGAGTTTCCGTTCTTTTGACTGAGGCTGATCGATCCTCACTCAATATCAGCCAGCCAACGGCCCGCCTTGCTCACCTCTGGCAGATGGGGGCTGTGTGCAGAAGTTCGCTTGCCCAAATCGGTAAAAGAATGCAAACGGCCAGATGGTTTACTGCAGTATGCAGCGTGACGCTAAGCATCAAAATATGTTTATTTTCGAGCACCGGAACATTTTGTTTATTGTTCTGAGCTTTCGAACTCGTGCAGGAGTCCATCGTCAGAGATGATAGCAGCAACAGAACAAGCGACAGTTATAGGGCGTGTAAACCAATCATCGGCCGACGGCGCAAGATTGGAGGTGAGTGCGCGGGACTCTATACGCCGTCGCCAGATCGATAAATCGATTGACTGAGTTCTCATCCGAGGTCCAGGCTTCAAGCAATTCTCGGCCTGTTTTGTTTCCGGCGTGGGCTACTACTTTGGTGGCTGCAAAGTGAAACTCGTGACCCATTTCGTAGGTGTGGGCGGCAACTTGTGATGATACGTCGCCTCGTCGCACCTAAGGTGTCTGTGCGACGATGGACTCCTGCACGAGTTCGAAAGCTCAGAACAATAAACAAAATGTTCCGGTGCTCGAAAATCCTTCTTCTTCACTTATACATACACCTGGAACTCGAACTTTTGCCTTCATTCGTGAAGTTTATTTTCTCATATAAAAGACTGCTTATTTGAGGCAGTACCACCACTAAATGCAGCCTTATAACTCCAACTTGGCTCACACACCGTAGCATGCTGGTCGTTAACTGGGAACCTACCCGGGCACCTCTGTCGATATCGTTCTCTCAGCTGGCCACTTAAGCGATGTAAGTGCTCCCACCATATTTTCGTGCGTGCCATCTTCGCAGAATGGACCGACCAGGTGTCATTTCTTTATAATCCTTTTTCGAGGAAAGCAGATCTTCTTTAAATCTAATACTCGGAGGTAAGTTTCGAAAGTTGTTTGTACTTTTTCAAAATCTCCGTTTTGCGTTTTTGTGGGTGTGTTCACCGAGGCATCTTCTGAGTTTCTTTTCTTATTGCTATTGTGAGGCATCCTGACGCCCACAGAAATTGGGCCTAATTCACAAACTTGACAATAGAGAGCCAACCGCGCTCTTCAAATCGCCCACAGTGCATATGTTCCAATCACCTTTTCCTCTCAAATGATTGGTATGCACGCGTAGTAAGGCAAACGTCCCTTCTAGCTGAAGCACTCCTTTCTAGGAGCGCAAAGTTTTCAAAAAGGGTACCCTTCTCCTCACGAGAGATCGACGTTTCACTAATCCCTTCCTATGGATAGCAGTGACATTCAAGTAGGAATAGAGGTTAAGGGGGGTGGAATGTGTGTCGTTTTTTCGTCAGTCCTATCGAAGAAGATAGTTGAGGGTTTTCTAAACTGACAGACTTTATTTGGCACATTTCAGACTTGCACGCACAATTAAGTTAGCGTCGAAGCACTGGCTACAATTTTTAACCATGCGTCTAATTATAAAAGTTTGCTTAAACGAGCTTACATGATTCCAGCCAATTTCTACGTTGTAGGGCGTCGGCTTTTAACTAGTCCCTCTTCGTCCACCTGTTTCCAGCACTCTGACCGGAAATTAACAGTTGTTCGATGTTTGTTCATTGTCTTTCCACGTCTGATTTGATTCTGTCATATATCTCGACCTATTTTGGAATTTACGAAATCGGGATCTCTAGGACTTTTATGCTCTGAGGGAAAGAGTATTTCATCCTCTACAGTGAGTGACCGATCTCATGAAATGTTGGCTAAAATTCTGAAATGCGTTTTCGACTAGGAAGGATTAGTTGGGCGCAGTTGTAATACTGATTATCTTGCGACATAATCCTATGCTATTTTGGACTCGGCAGGATGTCAGCTTTTGAATGCACTGCTTTTCAAACTCCTGTAGAAATCGTACTCGGTAAAAAATGACTACTTAAGCAGCATGCATTTTCCCCACTGATTTTCGATGGTCTTGCAAATTCAAACATATTTTATAGAAAGGACGAACAAAAGTATGCCTTCTTTCAGTCGTTTGGTAGGGAATCACGTCTTCTTTATATTTTATACTCTGAGAAGGAGTATAATTAGGTTGTCACCATTCCTACAATCGGTGGTCGAGGGCAGCGTGGGCTGCTTTGTCGTGTCTCCGCCGCATTTGAGATGATTAATGTCGTTGAGACTCATGTTTCTTCCCACAAAGTGACTGATATTTTCTGTGTTCGCCTTCCTAATGGGATACCGTGTCCCTTTTTTGTTGTTCCACACCTCCCCCCACATCTTCACAGTCTCTCCTACCTGAACAACCTTTCCAAAGTCTGGTCGTACGTGAAAGCGCACAACAAACTGCACTTCTACGTGGACAACTACGTCCTGGACGGCGCCATGTCCGTCCTGCGTTCAGTGCCCTCCGTGCTGCCTGTGAGCAGCCACTTTCCACCCAGTCCGGAACCGGACCCCGAGGTGCGCGAGTTTCTGCGTGAACTTCTGGACTACTTCACCCACCTGGGCAACTTCCCCTCCGTCTCGGATACTCGCCTAATCACCTCGGTCACTGCGGGTCGAGATGCCTACGTGCCACGTGACGGCGTTGTGCCCTTTGACGTAGTCTTCCCCCACTCCGATATTCGCACTCTGCCCCAGTGTGGTCACGTCAGCGCCTACGTCCGCAACATGATTTGGAGTCATGACTTCCAGTAGGTGGCGTTTTCGGCTTCATGTCTGGTCTGCCCTAAAAGACCTGCTGCTTCACTGCGGTACTGGTCGTTTTGGCGGTGCAATTATGAGTTTCGATTAGTCTCCCAGGCTAGAGCAACTGTTGTCTTCATGAATAATAACCTAGAACGAGCTGGCGAACTTGGCCTCCAGAAAAAGAGACTGCTGGATCTTATCGAACCGCGATCAGCTGTGGCCGATACCTCACGGTTGCCGCCCTTTGTCTGTACAGCTGCTGTAGGTGACTTATCTCACGAAACATTAATTCAAATTCAGAAATTTTATTTAGCCTGCGAGAGTGGGTTATAATACTGATTATTCATAGATATTTTGGGAGATTTTGGATAATTCATATTGACCCAACTGTGAAGAACTCGGCGCCTCGGTGGGATTCGAACCCACGCAGTAAGGAGAAGGCTTTAGTACAGCCAACGCTCTAACCACTTGAGTTACGAGGCCCCGCAGAACAGAATCACAATAAATTCCGGGCAGACATTTTAGTCATTTCACTGCAGAAAAATAATCATTGTCTTCTGCTTCACCATGGGTGGAAGACTGTCCTGCTCTCGGAAGATGTTTAGTAAGTTTGCACTCTCTCGTTTGGATGGAACATGTAAGAGGTGGCATGACACCTTCCGATTCGTTTGGAAAAACATAATTTGTCTACTTCACAGAGCTAGTGGAGTTGATTCTTTAGGGACCGTTGCGTGCCTTAAAACTTGGCAATGAGCACGACGAACTTTTGACTGACCGAAACTAAACCGAGCAATTATTATCCTTGAAATGCAGTCTCTGTCTACACAAGGGTGTCCTCCTCTAGTTAGACCAGTAAGGTGATTTATTTTTCATCCCATCATGCCCCTCTTCTAGTCAAGCCATCTGTGATACTCTGAACCGTCACGTGGTCCTCCACTACGGATCCGCCCAGCCCGTCTTCGGCAAGTCTGTCAAGACCACTTCGACCACCTGAGACTGCGCCGACACCCGCTCTCCTCCCCGACGCCGCTGCTGCGTCCACTTCAGCCTCACAGGACTTGCTTTGTAGTAATTCCACTTCTTTTCTATTATATATTTGACTTTGGAAAAGGACAGGCTGGACGTGATCTATGCTTTTGCCTCGGCTCCGCGCCCCGAATTGGCTGTACAAATTCAGATGACGAAGAATTGGACCCGCCCACTGTCCCCCCCCCCCTCCACACTTTTGCAAACTAGTCGCGCTTGAGCTTGGCATCTGCCTGCCGCACCTGGTGTACATACTTATCTGTCTGCTATTTTTTACTTCGGAATTTTCAAGCTTATCGCAGGTTAAACAAAGAATCCTTATAGTTTGTGCTTTTGAACGAAGGGGGCATGATATGGTGACAATACGAGACTGAAATGTAACAATTACCCTCTCCACTCCCCCTTCTAATGACCATGCTTACATGGTCGCTACTGACTTTCATTTGGTAAACGTCCTCCTAGGGTGATTGACCTCGGAAATGATACATCCGACGTCATTTTCACCATACTCCCTTCATCGGACCACAATTGGTTCAACCTACGCTTGGCTATCTACCCCAAAAATGACGCATTTGAATGTATGTCCACCTTACTGATTTGCTTGGTGGCATCGTACGCCACAAAGGCGCAGATATGGGCACTGCGGCAACTTCATACGGAAGCACGATTGGGCTTTGTCCCTATTAATATGATTAAAAATTTAATCATAATGATATATGGCTATGCGGGCAGGGCTCAGTACTTAAAAGACCCAGGGCTTGCCTGCAAATACGCAATTTAGAAATGTGCGTGTTAATATGGGATGATATTGTTCGGGGCAGGCTCTCGCGGTACCGTTCTTGCAGGCATTATGAAGAGCACTGAAGAATGGTGTAGGAGTGGTGTCGTGGCGTTACCGCGTTCGCTGGATACAGTGGGGTTGATGTTGAACTGTAGAATAGAGAGAATGATTATATTCCAGTGAAACTGTTGAAGAGGACGTCCTTGATTCAGTTAGATTTTGCCGCTTTGCTCTGGCCTAGTTACCCGGAATCGCGAGCGGAACAGTTGCATTGGGTGGCACAGAGGAGGGGTGATCTCCGTGGTGTCTTTGTTCGGAGGTGGGCGTCTGCATACATCCCCCTCTCCCTTTTTTGGGGAGTCAGTTTAATGTTCTGAGATCGCATCGGGCGCCGGTGGGTGAAGCCACATTGGATGACAGGCGGTGTTCATTGCGCTATAACACCGCTATTGACCTGAGACCTTTTTATAGACGCCAGTTCCCGAGTTCCGGCTTATTCGACGAGATCCGGCCACACATTCAGATTCGATGAGGCCGGAATTCTCGCTAAAGGTGACAACCGCGTAAAACGCTAGCTGGACCCCATTCTATTAAGAAGTGCAACGACCTTCCTTTTCCATACTCGGTGCTGAGGCTTCGCCTAGGCGGTGTAATTAGCTACGCGGGAAGCGCAGAGGTGAACACTGTTCCCAACGTCAGGGTCGGCGGGTCAGATGGTCGAGCTATCATCCCACCTACATCCAACAACTCTGGTGAAATTGTAACGTTTGACAACGCGAATGTCGGCCATCGAACAGTTATCACACCAAGTGCAACAATCCCTGATGAAGGAGGGTGAGCCGTGGATTTTCATAGGTGTGGGGTAGAGTGGCAGCTACATCCTATAAATACTGAAACCCCTAGTGCATGAATCACCCGTATCTGCTTTTGCCACCGATGATGGGTTCCAGTAGGAATCCGAAACATCGGGCGAATAAAGCTCTTGTTCCAGCGATCGTGTCTCCTTCTTAACTACTGCCTTCTGGTACTCATCTCTCCATTGACAATCGACTTTCTAGATCACTGTCGAATCACTCACCTCCATGGTCTGCGATTGTTGGTCAGAATGGGGAGCGTACCTACTTCGCAGCCAGCCTTCTCCAAGGATCATTCCACCGTCACCGACAAGCGTAGCTGGGTCAACGGGCAGGGGTCATCCTCCAGAGATTCCTGCCGTCCCAGTTTTAGTCTTGTTTGACGATCGGAGAATATGTATGATTAAGTGAGTCCAAAACCACTGCTTGATGCAGTGTTACAGTGTGTGACCGATCTCATGAAATGTTGGCCAAAATTCTGGAATGCGTTTCCGATTAGGACGGATTACTTAAGTGAGGTTGTTATACTGATTATCTTGCAGCACAACCCTATAATATTTCGGACTCGCCAGGATGTCGGCTTTTGAATGCACTTCCTTTTGACCTCCTGCAAGAACCACACTCGGTAAAAATGACTACTTAATTAGTATGCATTTTTCATATTGATTTTCGATGTCTTATAAATTTAAATAGATTTTATAGAGAACATGCACAAAATATGTTTTCTTTTACTTATTTGAGAGGAAATCACGCTGTCTTTATATTTTATGCCCGAAGGAAGTGTATATTAAGGTTTTAAAAAGTTTCTAATTATGAGATTTTTAAGACCGTGAGATGTCCATGCATGCAAGACCGCACATGTGCGTTTACTAATGCTTCCCATGAAATGTACAGCACAGTCCGGATTCATTGCAAAATTTCATGAACTCTATGTGGTATCTTCTTAAAGGCATACTAGAATATAGGATTTTCCTTATGCGGACAGCATGCACCTTGTAGACTGAAATTGCTAAACGCTGATGCAATGGCAGATCAGGCTGAAAATTATTCGGGAATTGGAAAGCTTTTTTAAAACCTAAATACACACTTTCTTCTGGTATGAAATATAAAGCCAATGTGATTTCCTACCAACTGAGCGAAATAATGCATATTTTTGTGCATGTTTTCTGTAAAATATTTTCGAATTTACAAGACCATCGAAAATCAATAGGAAAAATGCATGCTACTTAAGTAGTCATTTTTTACCGAGTGTGGTTCCTGCAGGAGGTAAAAAGGAGGTGCATTCCAAAGCCGACATCCTGCCGAGTCCGAAATGTTATAAGATTATGTTGTATGATAATTAGTATAACAACCCCACTTAAGTCATCCGTCCTAATCGGAAATGCATTCCGGACTTTTGGCCAACATTTCATGAGATCGGTCACGCACTGTATAAGCCACTCCGCGGGTGAACTGATATGATGAGGTGAGGCGTTCTGAAGTTGCTCCACAAAGGCCTCGATGACCGTGACAATTGAGATGAGACAAGTGTGTGCTTGTAGGGCCCCTACTCCGAGCGTCTGTCTCAACGCTAGGCCTCTGCACGTGCGCACCAGGGCTGTCCGGCATTCACCAACTCCGCTCTCCAACTGACCAATCAGATTCAAGGCCGAGTCAGACGTGCTCTGGCTTAAGACTAACGCATTCCCTGACTGAGACTTGGGACGCCGTTCTCCCGACACCAGAGACACTTTCCTTTGGTTGCGGACTCCTCCCAATACCTTCTCTAACTGTTCTGTACAGAATATACAATCCATCCAACTAGCAATCCATCTTACCTTTCCATTCGGAGTCGGGTCTGAAGGTCGTGGTAGCCAGGGTTTCGCTCTCGGCTTGGGCTTCTGCGATATACCCGTACACTTTTCAAGGAAGTGCAACATCCCGAAATGACTCTACTCCCAGTTAGCAACAGACCAGCGGCAAGAATAGGGTATGTAACCCCCCTGGGTGGTTGGCGTGCTTCATAACGGTTTGCCTGGCAGAAGGTCGCGAAAGAAGTTAAGCAGGGAACAGATTTTGACCGCCAGCGTCATCGGTATCCAAGTTGCCCGTTTTAGGCTCAAGGTTAGGGTTTTGAAACCGTTAAAATTAGCGTTAGTCGGGTTATTATTGGGAATAGGGTTTCCAGGCCTGGGTTATGGTTTGAATTTGGGACGTAAGCTAGGGTTAGGGATTGGCTTATAGCTACGGTTACGTCCGAGTTTTCCTTAAATGCTTACAGGCCAGAGATTTCCCTTTGAAAGCATGACCATGGTTGGCGTTATGTTTGTAGGCAACTACGGTCTCCCCAAGGGGGTTACATACTATACCCTTGCCAGACCAGCTTCTTAGTAGTTTTTTTCTAGCAAAGTAGAGCCGTTTCACACTTTTCTTTGCCCGACAGGTGGTGACCACAGTTCTGCACTATGCTTTTGAACAGTTTCCCGTCGATACGCTAGTTGATTTCGATATTTGGCGGCTCCTCGCGGTGGGCATCCATCAGTATAATAGAGCCCAGGAGAGCAAATGGGGTGAGAGTGAGTACGCAGTCCTCTTTCGCCCTGTTGGTCATTGCGCATGCTCCAGAGACTGCCCCACTGTCCGTAACGTAGGCCATCATTCCATCGTGAAGTTGACGCCGAATTTGTGTGAAGTGCTTCGGACATCCGAAGTTCAGTACAATCTTCCGGAGCCCGTAAAGGTTCCCAGTGTCGGGGACTTTGTCGGATCGACGAAAGCGGTGCAGATGTTGGACCTCATTTCTTGGCAGGCTGCGAAGCTGATGCCGTTGGTTAAGCTGTTCCTGCGAAATCCACACTGACTTTCTGGGAAAAGCCACAGATGTGTCAAGACGGTTGAGGAGGAAGTGGGCAAAATTTTTTCTGCGATGTTAAGTGGCGAAATGCTTCTGTGATTGTCGCAAAGTTGTTGGTTTCCCTTGCGCTTGTATATATGAACGATGGTCACGTATCTAAATTATTGAGAAAATTGTCCTTATCCACACATCTGGAAGAGTGAAGTGAGCATTTGCAAGGGAATGCCATACATGAAGAATTCGGCGGAGACTTCTTGAGTTCCTGGTACATTTCCGCTAGATATCTGGCGTACATCCTTGATGGTCTCTGGCAGTTGTGGCGGGCCTTCGAGTCTGGCTTTGAACAACACATGCGGGAACTTGTCGATGGCGTCGTTGTCTGAAAGTGAAGATGGCCCGTTGAGGATGCTTCTGAAGTACCCCGTCCAACGCTTGCAGATTCTGCTATTTATCAGTGAGGAGCGTTGCTCGATTGGAGTTGAGCAGCGGCGCCTTGATTGAGACGAAGAAATTCTTCATGCAGTTGCGGTCCGCGTAGCCGTGTAGCTCTTCAAACTTGCCATCCGTCCAAGCCTTTTGCATCTCCCACAGTCGTACTCGCACCAGGCTTCGACAGTGAAACTAAGCTGCTTTGTTATCATGAGTCTCTCAGTTGTCGTAGGTTGTGTGCAGCCTGTTCTTTCCGGAGAGCAGATTGGAGATTTCCTCGTCGTCGTTGAACCACTCTTGATACTGGCGACACGCTCGATCAAGGACATCCATGACGGTAAGACGAATGACATTTCGCAGTTGAAGCCATTATGTCCCCAGTGGCATTGTCTTTCAGGGTCCGCATATCTTCCAGTCAATAAATCAGTTGATTGCTGAAATTTAAGCGTCGACAGCCGCAGAACTCGGTATGGAATCCCCACGGTCTCCAACTGGACATCAAACTGAGGATGGACGAAGCTGTGATTCTAACGAAATTGCTGTTTTGTGCGGAGACCTGGACAGTCTGCAAGAGACAAGCACAGAAGCAGAATCATTTCTGCCTCAGCTGTCTTCGGAGAATCTTAAATCTTAGGCGGCAGTACATGATCCTGGACATGGCGGTTTTGGAACGCGCTGGAGTCCACGCAGCGTCCACGTCATGCTGAAGCAACCGCAATTACGATGAAGCGGCTTCCTCGTGAGGGCGAACAATGCTTGTCTGCCGAAACAACTCTTCTTCTGTGATGTCACCACGGTGACTCGCCTATAAGGAGGTCAAAGTCCCCGCTACAAGGAAACCTCGAAGAATTCCTTTAAGCATCTACAAATCAACCCGAAGACTTGTGAAGACATCACCTTAAACCGACCGGTCTGCAGTTGGGTGCCGTTTACGTGGGTGCGATGCAGCTTTGGGTGACGGTTGAGGCATGACTACCGATTTGTCCATGCTGATGGCCAGTCTGTTGTTGGCACAGCTCCGTTGCATGTCAATTTTTGTCACGGTGTTGTGCGCGCAGTCGTCCGCGAAAAGCAGGTAGTGGACAGAAGTGGCAGAGAGAAACCTTGAAGCCCGCATGCGCCAACTATTGATAAGATGACTGTTGGCTCTGCAGGCGACGGGGATCCCCGGACGCTCATCACAGAAGGCTTTCATCAGAATCAAGGAGAACATAAGAGTGAAGAGGGTGAGGACGAGTACGCAGCCCTGCCTCATTCCATTGGTCAGCGCGAATCGTCCCGAGACGATCCCTTTGACCGTGACGCGCGCCATCACACCGACGTGGAGCTGACGTACCGTGTGCGTGAATTGTACAGGACACCCGAATTTCCGCATGATTTTCCAAAGCTCATCTCAATTTGCCGTGTCCAAGGTTTTTGTCAGGCCTACGAATTGAAGGTAGGGGTGTGTTTGCATCTTTCGCACTACCCTTGCAGCTGACGGGCAGCGAAATTCATGCCGGTACTTCAGCAGCAGCGTGCGAAGGCACACTGGCTTCCGGGATAGGAGTTCATGTACGAAATGGCCGTTGAGAAGGTTGAGGAGGGTGATAGCGAAGACCTTTCTGAGGTTGTTGAGTGGCGAGCCTTTTCACTGATTATCCCAGAGCTGCCAGATGGACGACTGTCGCTCCTTCGAAGTCCTGTGGGACATGTCACCAGGGTCACGTCTGGAATGACGTCGTAAGTTGATCCATCAGCCGGGGCCGCCGTGCTTGTAAAATTCAGCCTAAAATCTCATCAGATTCCGGTGCTTTCTCGTTGGAGATTCGGTGCACAACTCTTACTGTTTCAGGGATTGCAGGCGGGAGGTCCAGGTCGTCGGTCAATGACGACGTCGGAAATCGTGGATGGGAGGTTGAAGAAACTTCTGAAGTGCCCTATTCGGCGCTCCACATCATGGTATATCTTTGCAAGGGGGCTGTACTATCAGAACGGGGAAGCAGGCCTCTGCTTTGGTTTTGGGACCGTAGATCGCCTTGACTGCTGCGTGGGAGCTATTTATGTCATTTCGGTACACATACCACTGGGTTACCTTTGTGGTGGTTATGCGGTGAGAATGTGTGAGTGGTCTAAGCGTCACCATAATCAGGGCAAATCCTAGTGTTGTAGAGGGAAGGAAAAAGTCACCAGAATGAGGAGTTTGTTGTGCACAGAACCCGGAGTTGTCCTCTCAGGTGACAGTGGCCACTGGCGAAGCCAGCGCTGGTGTTGACTGCGTCCAGTCATGCCTGAGAGTTCCTAAGATAGTGGTGTCAACCGCTTTTGTAGGCTCGTGGGCCAAGCTCAAGTGGTGTCCAGTCAGCGTGTGTTTCACTTGCCGAGGGGTAATGTCCCAGTGGCTTGTTTTGCTGGTTGCAGGGGGTGGCGCATGGGCAGCTGCGGCTGTGCGGACTCAGGTATGCCCGAGCTGTCGGCCGTGTGACTTCAGGTCAGCGCGTCTGGAACGGCGTGAATGACCTTGAGGCAGAGAGGTCCTGAACAATTGTAGCGGCCGAGGACGTCAAGGGTAGCACACACCAGAGTAAGAGAACGCTGAGAGTAGATCCTGGCCGGGTTAGACCCTGAACGGAACTGTTAACACTTCTTGATACTCATCCATACACCGGGGAAGAAGACAGATCGAGTAATGGAAATAGTGTAATGCATAACGAGACAACCAAGGAAAATGTGTATAATAACTGTTAACAATACAGGGGGATGAGTTACAGCTGAAGAATGACCTGTCTGAGTGAAGAGGCGATAGCGACATGCCAGCTAAATAACCGGTGGGGAGCGCAGCGCTGTGGGCAACTGCAGGGGAGGGCCGAGGGAGGTGCCGATGTTGTGAGACGGAGAGCCAGGCGAGCGTTACGGTACGGTACGGTAAGGGGGCAGGGATCGGCGGATGAGAGAGGAAGGGACACCGGCCATCTTCGCTGACACGCGGTTACGTCATCTCCACCCTAGGTCCTCGCGCCAAAAGTGTCACGGCATTCAAACAATACTGTTCAAGTCCAGGGGCGTTACACAATGACGCCAGACCGGTCATGATGTCTGCCGGCAACACCTTCTCATTCAGGCGTCCTGCATCTCCAGCAGTCGTCGTTGTTCAGGGCGGCGATATCAGAAGAAGGCCGCTTTGGTGTCGTCGGTCTAATGGTTCCCATTGGCTTGATGCAGCCCGTGATCTTCGGCGAGCAGGCTGCTGGTGTCTGCATCGTTTTCGTTAAACAGTGGAACACCATCTCAAAAAGATTCGTGGGTCAACGGCGGCTGGGCCGGACGGTGTCTCTCCTTTTCTCCTTAAGTCTTGCTGTTTGCAGATAGCTCCCGTCTTGACCCACCTTATTAATCTATCCTTCATAGAGTCCAAGATTCCTGACGCCTGGCGTACAGTAAGAATTACTCCAATCCTTAAAAAATCTTTAACTTTTGCTCCTAAATCTTTCCGTCCTATTGCCTGCTCTTCTGCACTCCTGAAACTTACTGAACGAGTTGCATTAGATTCCCTTAAGTCCTCCTCCGTCAATTTTTCTGATCCTCTACAATTTGCATAAAAGACAAAGCGTAGCACCTTGGATGCTGTTGCTTTAGTTGTTCATTCAGCTTTGAGAGACTTAGACAAGGGATGCCGTGCATATGCATGTGCTTTTCTTGACTACTCATCCGCCTTCAACACTATTCCGCGCCAACTCCTCCTGACCAAAACAGCTGCGTGCGACACTCCGAGCTGAGTTGGCTCTTGGCTTAGAGATTATTTTTCCTCCCACACTCAGTTTGTCCAGTCGGGAAAGAGAAAATATTCTATTCTTCCAAATAATTGTGGAGTTCTACAAGGTTCCATCTTATCCCCTCATCTTTTCTCCCTACATACTGATGATTTGAGATCGCCAAACGACTGCCTGTATGTTAAGTATGCCGATGACATGGTCGTAGGCCACCCACTCAAAAACCTGACTCACCTACAGTCTTTAAAGGATGGCTTAGATCACGTCTCCGCATGGTCTTCGAATAATGGACTCCTACTCAACAATCAGAAATCAGTACAGTGTGTGTTTCGATTGCGACCCTCTCCCATTCCTGAACCTTTGGATATTCTTCCCAATAAGGTATCTTCTTTCCGGTACCTAGGTGTTACTTTATCCTCAAATCTCTCTTTCTCTCTTCATATGGAAGCCCTTTTAACAAAAATTCAAAAACTTGTTTATTACATTCATCGTCTACGTTCATATCACACACCCCAGTCCTTAATCTGGCGATTCATAGATGGCTGTATTCTTCCACTCATTCTTTATTGTTCTCCAGTTATTTTTCCAGCTTTACTTAAAAAAGATCTAATTATTTTTAAACGTGTCATTCGAATGCTCGCCTCTGCTGCTGGTGTTTCCTATCATACTTTAGTTGATATCATCGTGCAGCGACACTTCAACTCGGTGGAGCAATTCGCTGACCGAATTCTGAATGACACCGTCCATCCCCTTCATAATGAGTTAATGGCTGCGAAATCCTTACGCCCCATGCGTCGATGCTTCCGCCACATCCCTTGCCGCACTTTGGCCTATCGGAATTCCATACTGCCATTTCTAGCCCGGTATCTCACCTGCAAAGATGCTGAAAAACAAAAACTAAAACTCGATCTTGCACCTCAAAGTCCTTTTTTCTTCATATATAATCATTTCCACCTGTCCAAAACCTGTTAATCTCTATGGTAATCACTGTGTACTGGAGAACCGTTTTTGCTGAAAGTTTTGAAAGTTATTTTCAAAATAAAGCAGTCCTCTCTCTCTCTAGTGTTCAGGACGAGTGCCACCAAAGACGTCCAAGACAGCACATTGTATAGTACTCCTCATTTGACACTGCCGAGTTTCCACGATAACGCTGTCGTCCGTGGCCGGCAGTTCTCCCCCGTGCTGGGCTGGTGAGTAGACAAATTCGACGGACAAGTACTTAACCTACCTGGCGGTTGCTTATCTTTTGTCCTCCTGCGGGGTTACAGTCGGAGGCTCATCTTGGAGATGACGAGGTGGTGATTCGTTCAGTCGTCGGCGTCGCAGATCGTCACGGTTACCAGCACGTCCTGTCGATCTTGCCTCCGGACAATATCGTAGTCCAGCAGCTGTCAGCGTCGCGATCGCGGGTGCATCCAGCTCTTGCATCTTGCGCGGGTTCGAAGCAGGAGAAGGCCGTTGTCTTTGCTGCCGGCAATCGCATGGGTATCCAGCACTCCTCTCCAGGCGCCGTAGTCTGCTCTGACGCAGGCAATGAAGTCACAACGAAGTACTAACTATTTCTCCTTCGGCACAGACGAGAGGAGGGTATGCGCGTCCTCGTAGAATTTGTTGTGTGCCCTGTCGGGGACGGTTTCGGGGTAGGTGGAGGGCGTAGACCTTGATGATGCCCCCCGAAGGGGCAGGCGTAAACTCCTGAGACGGTAGTTGACGCCCTGCGACAGATAAGACAGTCATCCCACGATGTCGTTCCGGATGACAAAGACGACACCGGCGTCGCGTCTCTCTGCCTTTGGATGGCCGTTCCAGAACAAGGTGCAGCCGGTGCCTACCTCCTCCACTTTGCCTTGTTGAGGGAAGCAGGCCTCGCTGAGAACAGCGATATCCACCTTGTAACGAGCGACTAGCGCTATCCTTCGTTCCGGCCGGCTGCTCCTCGGATTGTCTAAAAGGGAACGGACATTTCAGGCTGCCAGAATTAGCGGCAGCTTGCGGGAGAAGCGAAGGGATGGGGATGTGGGTTGTTGTTTGTTTTGTTGTTTTGACTGTGAGTTTTTTGTCTGCGATCCACGATCTGCCTGAAGATGACGTAATCCCAGCGTTAATTTAGGGTACCTTTTCTGGCCTCTTGCCTCGCGAGGGGGTAAACAGCATTGTCCCTAAATACGGCTGTTCAGAGATTCCAGTCGGTCGCAGAACTCCACTATGGGTTACTGTTTGGGTTAGTGGAATAGCGGCCCGAGTTAGTCTGGGCCGCTTATGGGATTGCATGCCACCCTTTTCGTAGGATTTTGTGGATTGGAAGGAGGAGATGAGGGAAGGGAATGTAGGGGAAGAGTGGGGGCAAAGGGGTGGGAAAGAAGGAAAGGGAGGGAAGGGAAGGATGATGAAGGGACGACAACGGGAAGAGGATAATCGAGTGTCGGGACACATAGTACCGGATACTTTCCTCTGGTTTAGTCTGCCGGTCGAGGCGTTTACCGGGGTGCGGCCACTAGGCAGAGCTTTGCTTCCGGGAACCCCAGATGAAAGTTGGGTGAGAGTTAATGACCGTGAGGAGCAGTCACGATTTGCATAATTCGACATGTAACACTTATACGGGTGTCTCCAGCTGGGCACCGATGAACCCCCGGGCTAAACACACGACAGTTAGATCGTCACTTCCAACGGTGTCCACTGTGTGCTACACACCAAAGCGCAACAGGCACGGTGGCTTGCGTGTGAATTAGTTTACAGTGATAGTAGACATGCGCAGCATCTACCGCACTCCCCACCTGGACGCGGTGTCAAGACACAGCCAAAAAGACCGTAGGTGTGGGAGGGCGCAGGTGGCTGGCACGGCCGGACCCGCACCTAGGCGTGCCACCACACCCCTGGCCCGCAACATACGCCTGACCGGGATTTTTCGTCACACACACGACACACAAAACTCACACCCTATTGACAAGAAGGACTCAGGGCGTCTGGGGATAGGCGCGAAAGCAGGGTTTGATTAAGCCAAAGCGAGATCTATGCGTGCCACACCCTCGCTGGTTTCAAATTCCTCTCAAGCTAGTCTTTAATGAGGAGGTCGCAGAACTGCTACTGCATCCTTCAGGCCTGAAGGAGGTTTACTTATTCAACTCTTTGCTCCGTTCCGCAGTGATGGGACAATCAAGCATGCGACAGCAAGAACGGCAGACTTCGCGCGCGCAGACATACACTGACTACTATCGAACGCCAACCAGTAGCGCTGGCGATCGAAAAACCGGCAGGCTTTTGAATCCGTGCCGCCGCTTTTTTTCTCTTTTCACTCACGCGTGGCTATTTTTGTGCTTGCGGACACAGGCTGATCTGCTTCCCAAAAAATGCACTAATTTGTCCCTCCTTTATCACTTATTTTTGGTTGTTAATGTCGCCAGTGGACTGCGGAATTGCAGGGAATCAAGGCTCATGATAGTGGATCGGTTAGGCGGAATTGCGCACGCGATTTGGATATGGTACTGGTAGGGGGTTTTCGCTAGAATTTCTAGGCGCCTCAGGCAGCTGCTAGCTGCCCTTACGTTTCTAGAGATGGATGACTGTTGCATTCTTGAAGTCCTAGGGAAGGTGTCCTTGGCGCCACATCTCCCGGAATAATGTTGTTAGTTGATCCATCAGTCAAGACCTACGTGCTTGTAAACTTCGGCGAGATCGCGTCGGATCCCGGTGCTTTCCAGATGGACAGTTGGTTGACGGCTCTGGCTGTTTCTGTGAGGGAAGGCAGGACGTCCAAGTTGCCGATCGCTTTCACTTGAGAGAATGAGTCGGTCGATGACGGCGTCGGATATCGTGGTTGGGCGGTTGAGGAGACTTTCAAAGTGCTCGACTCAGAGCTTCAGAATTTGCGGTATAGAAGATGAAGATGAGATCACTGGAACAAGAAATTTATTGGCCTGACGTTTGGGATTCTCACTCGAATCCATCCTCAGAGACATTCGCAGATAAAGGTATCTTCATGGGGAGGGTTGCCCTATCGGTGTTGAGAAGCCACGCATGCGATTTGGAAAAGGTGCCGGTGGGGAATTTTTGCTAGAAGTTTTGGGCACCTCAAAGTATAAAGCTTGTTCTCACTCAAAAAGGGCGACTTATCCCAGTCATTTGAAAAACTGACTCACACGCTATCACTCACCGGGTAGGGTAGGCTTAGTGTTAACGCGTGTGTCCTGGTTATTGGAGAGAACACGGTCCCTACCGGTTTGTTTTGACGTTCATGTGTAGGGCCCATGCAGACGTTCTCATAGTCACAGATAGCCAATAGTCTGGAAGTGCTAATGACACAGATAAGGGGAATACGCCCTGCAGTGCCCGACTTATTTCCTGTTGTCGCCCAAGGGAAAACCTACTGACCAACGATTTGAAATGGGCCACCCAGTCTTCCCTGATTCCATCTGCAGCAATTCCATATTTTTAGATGTTTTGGTAAATTTTGGACAAGTCATTTTGACCACACTGTGGAAAACTCGGCGACTAGTTAGGATTCGATCCAGAACAGCAAGGGAAAGGCTTTAGTACAGCAAAAGCATCTATTAATTACGTGAGCCTGGTATTTCAGAAATTCTGCTTAGTCAGTCAGCTTCCTCTATCAGATTTGGTGGATTTCAGGCGTTGCAGAAGGTTCGGTGGGTATACTTGATCTAAATGTGATTAAACGCTTGTCGTCCGGTGGGTCCTCGTAGCTCAGGTGGTCAGAACGTTGACTGGACTAAAACCCTCCACTTGTTGTTGTGGGTTCGTATCCCAGCGAGGCGCTTAGTTTCTCACAGTGGGTAGAAATGAATTCCATATTAGTATAATCATATACTCAGAGTCATTGACTAGCTTTGGAACTCTAGGTTATCTGAAGAATCGGCGGCAAAAATGCAACGTACCCGGTCTGTCTGCTAGATAATACTTTCTATCGATCACCGTTCATTTTGCTTCCGGATAATGAGGCTGCTGGTACTCATCAGAAGTAGTCAGCCAACAGAAAACCGCGTCTGGTCTTAGATCACAGACAATATGAGCCACTAGGCACACATTTCTGTATCCGACGCAGTTGTGGGTACCTGTCTAAGCCTGTTGGGGGAAATAATCTTTCCAGATCCATATTTCCTGAGCCTCATTAACTTTTGGATATGCACAGGGTGGGACAGATGTAACCGAACCTTAATTATTATAAGAAGTCACAGATAAAGGGCGCATAATTTTATCACACATAGTTACAAAAAAGGTTCTTAATGTTCAATTTTAATCACCCCTAACATATTTCCACCGTAATGTAAACTCGCTTGCTTGGATAACTTCCATCCCCCTTCCCATATGTCAGATCAGCGGTCTGCGTTCTATTAACCTATCATATTTCATCCCTCTAGGCCTATCGCTGATTGGACTGTATAACTTATCGTGTATGTAAATTATTATTAGCAATAAAGTTGCGACATCTTTCAGTGATTGAATCAGTTGCTTCATTGCTATGTCCCCAGGTGAATATCTTCCCATGACAGGCCAGGTTTATCCGAGTCTGCAGTGTTGCCCATTTGTTCGAATTTCGGCATCAATTTGTAGACTACCAATTTTGATGGATATGATGTATTAAATGATTCATTCCAGTGACGGCTAATAAGCCGGAAATGGTCATTCCGGTCTCCATTGCTTTGTTATTACCATCTCACTGACCGATCTCTACCATCTTTGTAACTCTGGCCCAATAAATAAAAACTTTCAACAGCATGAACACATGCCGTGTTTAGGCCCTGTCTCAAAAGAAAGAGGGCGGCAATAAATCCAAAACTGACTAAATCGAGGAATCCATGCTCATTGAAAGTGAAATAATCAATATCCGCTGGAGGTTCGTGCACAAGGTTTACATTCCGAACATTTGTTGTAACCTTATGCGGTAAAGTTTCGTTCCATATTTGTAACATTTAATAATAATTAGAGTTCGATTACATTTGGGCCACCCTATACACATATCTAGGTTATGACAGATGGATGCTCACCGATCGGCTTACGGAACGTGCTCGTTCCGTTGTGCCGTGGGGCCCATACTAGAACCCTTGCAGTTAGTCGCACAACGACTAGCAGTTCAGGTAAATGAGATGACACGGACAAAAACAAGGAAGACCAGGAAGGTCATTTCTAGCTTGTTAGCCGTTATCAGTCAGTCATACTCAACCCCAGGTGTAGCCATTCTGGTCTCCCTTGTCTTTGTCAGTACCATCACATAAACACATACGTTTGTGCATTGCACAGACGGTCAGCAGTCGGCGTCTCACAGATGGCTCATAATCATTTCATCAAACTTAGGCAGCCGCATGTTTGTGGTTCTGTCCCCAGCTGGTGGCCAGGGATATGACCGGCCGAAAGAAGGCAGAATAAGCCCTAAAGTGTACTGTATCAATCTATTCTCAATCTCTGTCCTTCCCCCTCTACTATTGCGACGTAGTCCCCTCTTGTTTTTTAAACCAATTGACAGTGTCTCCTTACCATCGTGGTGAACGTAACAACCAGGCTGTCTACGCGTGACCTCTTCGCGATTCAACGCCTGCAACTCCCA